GTTACAGCCCAGCCTCAGGGACTGAAGGGACTGAATTCCCTTCCCAGAAACTCACCATGTTTCTCCAGGAGATCCAGGACAGCGCTGGCTATGGGTGGCAGAAAGCCTTTGCTCAGGTCTCCTCGTACCAGACGGCCCAAATTCAAATCTGATATCCTAAAACAAAAATGGACATAAATATAATATATTTAATTTTCAACATAATCAAATTTAATGGATAATTTTCTCCCTGGAAGTTGGTCTCTTTTTACAGGTTAAAGGTTGTTTTGTTAAGTGCTATGAATGAACAGCATCAAGTACATTGGTAAAATTTAAATATGGATACACATGAGGCACACATAATTTATGAGTTACTGGTAAAGCTTAACACTGGTGAGCAGCATTTGAGTAGTTTTAGATTTTATTATTGGACAGAGATCTATGATTACTGGTTCAAAAAAAATCTTTATCAAACACTAAAAATAAATTACTCGGCTTTTCATGGGACAACTGTAACCATTTTTTGTGAATTTTCTTTACATAATTTGTCCTTGACTGAACCAATTCTCTTTCATTTGTGATTATGAAGGGTGCTTTGCTAATTTTGTCATTCACTTGTCTGCCTCCATTTCCACAGTCTTAATTCTGTGCAGCCCTTTCTGATTTGGGCCAATTTGACATACCATGTGAGTAAATGCAATTATCTCTGTTGGGACAGAGAATTACAAACCACTGATACCTGGCTGACTGCTGCTTAAAAATATCTACTGCCACACATATAGCATGTCAAGTCCTTTTAAAGGAAATTAATTAAAAGAGACAACCATCCTAAATCAACACAGATGAAGAACTTGTGCTTTTTGGAAGAGCTATGCTCTTCACTGTTGTGCCTCTCTTTGTGAGAGTAGAAAACTCAACAGTTTTGAATGCAATGATACAAGTTAGCTAGTGCAGGTTTTTTACCCGTCTACATCCTTCTCAGGTTTGAGTGTGTTCAGCACTCGACTGGTGAGGGAAGCAGGGGGGAGGTGGAGGTAGACTCCATGCACCCTGGGGTCTTCATTCAACTTCAACACCTCCTCTACAATCTGCACGCATACACAACAACACACACACACACACACGAGAATTTTTGTAGAGAAAGTCCAAAGTATTTGCAAGCCAGGGTTGCAATAGTTGACTATAAATATCACACATGCTGGTATAAGTACTGTCTGTTGGTCCACAGAAACCCCAGCCTTCACACCTAAAAGGTTAATTATGTGTGATCTTTTAAGAATGAAGTACTGATTAAGAACAAGGGAAAGTTCAAAACAGCTCATTTAAGTCAGGTCAGTACTAGTGAGCATAAAATAGATAGTAATCACCGAGGAGAGAGAAGAGATAGGTTGGAGGGGGGCTGAAAAAAGAAAGATGTGTGAAAGTAGAGCAGTGGATCAGCAGAACAGTGGGTGGTCCTTTAGGCCAGGTATCCAATGTCAGCTGAAATGTGTGAGCTATTCCCAGGGGTTCTTTCTTTCTATAGACCACGCGTCAACTCCCAACTGGGCAAAGAGAGCCACAGACGAGAGGCTGCTTCCCAGTGCCAGTTACATTTGGTTTGAAAATACCATGGAGTGAAAAAAAGAATCTAACGACTGACTCAATCAATTAAGATCAAGGAATAGCCATGTAACAGTAGATATATATGATGACATGCAGTTTAAATGAAACAAACGCTTATGCGAGGCACTGATTACCTTGACACTTCACACAACCACAAACAGCCAGGCGAACATCATGCACCGACTTGCTAAGCAATGAGAGGTAGGAAGAGTTCTCCTAGTTTATGTGTGAGTCAGCCTCACTTACTTCATCTTCACTGCACTCCTTTGCCAGACAAATCTGAGTGATGTTTAAGCCCATCTGTGGATATACAGACAAGGACAGGGTGAACAGTTTGAGTTACTGTGTAGATTTGTAAAAAAAAACAAAAAAAACAAAAAGACTAAATGGGTGAAATCTATGTAGAGGAAAGAAGAGAGAAAGTTACCCTTTCTGCCATTTTCTTATTGATCTCAAACAAGCTGTCATCTTCACCTGCCTTAAGAAGCAACATAAACATAAAGACCTGGTAATACACGAATCTTCAATGGCTTCAGTAAAAACAGGCAACCTTTAGGTCAACAGGTAAATAAAGGCAAAGCAGGTTTAATGTCACTTATCTTTAATTCTACAATGGGAAACAAAAATCATGCATAGAACTTTGCTTAGAATACCTGTATAATGACTAACAAAGGTTGGATTGCTGGATTTGTTCTCTGCAGAGCAACCATTGCCTCCTTAGTGCTCTGAACCACATCTCTGTGAGAGAGAAAATGAACTGATTAGCAGTTTCTATAAATCCATGTAAGGCTGCACATGGAAAATAAATTCAAGCCAAACACATACATTCTGTAAGATTTTGGAAAAGGTACCTCGAACAGAAAAGTGGATAACATTGGTTTCAAATAAACCACTTACATGTAAATTGTGCCTCAAAGGCTCCCACTTTCCTAATCTAATAATCTAATAGTGAAATTCAACTCCTAGAAGCAGTAATTCTACTAAATATATATCACAAAAATAGCGATTTGGCAGTAAATAGAATACCACATCCCTTTAGAAAAAAAATTAAGGAAATAGATTTTATACAATAAAACACATTGGGAGATTGCACCCATTGGCCACCTTACTGCGCACGTGACTGTGTGAGCGTGGCTAATACGTATGTTAATGTATACAGTTAACACACTGACCTATATATTGCCCAGAATGTAAACATTAACTTGATCAAGTCCACATCTAGCTATCTCTGATCAATCATTTAATGTACTTTATTCCGCAACACACTCTATAGTAGTAAAATACACCATTTAAACATTAAAACCCCCATAACGTACAGTAAATATCACACATGATACAAATCGTATAAAAACGTGTAGTGATGTTGTGTCACATAACGTTACAGTAAAACATTTAGGCAACAATAATTCACACATTTGTGTTTTAGCTTCATTCGCCATTTGTAAATCAATGCACATTTTTGCACCCTTTTTTTGGCAACAAGGAAGACAAGTTGCATCAGCTGGCAGGAGTCCCTCTGATGATATCTGAGACACGTGCAGAACTGGCTCCTAGCCAACAGTAAAAATCGCCGGTGATACAGGAAGTAACTGTTAACATTACCGACCACTGTTTATCACTAGCAAAACACCACTCGACCGTTTTCGGTCAACAAAAACAGCAGAAATTCACTAATGTGTGGCCACATATGCTTTAACGTACATCTTTATTTCTTACCTCAAAGAACTGTCGCATTCAAACCCATCACTCTTTCGGGACTGTTCCCCAGAGCTGACGACTAATTTCGGGTTAGTCCCGCCGCTGCTGGCAGAGCTCGCCGTCCGGAGGATCAACCGGCTGTTGGCAGGACCAACCGGTAGGCATCTCCGCGACAAACCGCCGAGCCTGGTTCCTGAACGGGCTGGATGTAGCCGAAGGCTGCCACACGCACTACGAATTATAGACAACTTCATGATCGTTTCCTTTGGTTTTTAGTTTAGTTTTTTTTTAAATGTGGCCAGGCCTATATGTTTTTCCTCTCTGTTTCTCTAGCGATGGTTCAACCTCCGGGAGGAACAAAAAGAAAGTTGAGGTGGCTAGAGGGGTCTGGATGGAGCTACGCCCTCTTCACGGGCGGTCGGAAATTTGAAATTCAGAGTTCGTCACACACAGCTTCCCTTAACACGATAATCCCTGTCCTAGGGTTACTGCTAAAGAGGCTGCTTGTCTTGTTAAAAGACTACAGCAAATATAGCCAACACTTTGGCACACGGGCTATATTTTGTTATTAACCAGGGACACTGGAATACTCGCTTCGCGTGTTAACATTGTAAATCCGAGGTAGCCTACACTTGAAAGCAGCAACCTGACAAGAAGGGACACGCTCGCGATTACGGTTGCGCGTTCATGTGCGACTTTGACAGAACGAGGGGTCAGGCCAAAGGAGTTCACAAAATATGACATGTATAGCCTACATCCAGTCAGGACTATAAACAGAAAAAGAGTTTGGCCTATTTGCCGGGGTAGAGAAACGTAGGCACAAAAACGTCATAGGAATGAATGAATGGCATTTTTGTCATTGTATCATGTAACTTATAGGCTACCTATGCCCAGTCAGCCTGACTTACAAGACACCATAAAATAGGCCTAATAGTTTAGCTTACACAACAGGGAATGTCCAGAAATAGAAAAACAACTAAAGCATCTTTTAGAATGAAATCTTCTGAACAGCCTAGGCTAAATAGACTACTTAAGGCTAACTATAGACACAGTAACTTAAACACAATTAAACAGCTATTCCACATTTTGATAATCTAGAGGCTACACCAGAATTGAATATTTCAGGGTTTTGTCGAGCCATTTCAAGGAACATTAACTTTCTTAACTTGTTAGCCTATAATTCCTAAAAATATTATTCACTTCCCACTTCACCCAAATCACACAGCTCACACAATCGGAGTGCGAATATTTTTTTTTATCGTCCAACCTCAGTGGCCATCTAGGGAAAATACAACTTCTAGATAAACGAGATGTAGGCTAACATATGATTCAGGGCAAGCGCGCATATTTCGTGTCACTGTTGGTGACAACAATGAAAGAAGAAATAAAGTCTCTCTCTCTCTCTCTCTCTCACACTCACACTCTCTCTCTCACTCACACTCACACTCACACACACACACACACACACAAGCGAATACTTGTGGAAGTCATTTGGGCGTGGCTGGAAAATCTTCACACCTGAGAACGGGCTTGGCTGCCGTCACAAATAAATTGCAGAAAAACTGCAGTTCACAGCACAAATGCGCAGTGGTTGGTGATTGTCAGGTGTCTCCAATATGATAAATCTTTAGAGACCCCCGTCAAAAACACTCGTCATGGGCTTCCCTAACAATCCTACTTTATTCTAACCAGGAGAATTTTGAAGAAGTTCATATTGGCACTCACTTGGTTTAAACACACCAGCTGCCCCACACCTCGTCCCGTCCAATTGACGCTCTTGAGTTGCAGCGTCACTGCAAAGGCCAAACCGACCGGGCTTCATTCCTGAAGTCACATCATTACAGCCGCATGGCGTGGCGCAATCAGTCACCCAAGCAAAACCGCTGATGAATACCAGTTTTGGCACCAAATATAGCTGCATTACGCAGTTAAGGCCAGGTGTTTCAACTCACAGCAGTAGTCGACTGTGGGATGGTACTGAGGCACCACGGCCTCCTTACAATAAAGGATAACGTTTGATGTCTGCTGAGATCAAATCAAAACGGGTAAGGGTTTACCTTTAAAACTGCATGAAACTTTATTCCAGCAAGCCTTTGATTTTAAAGGAAACTTCAACCTGTATACCCGATGTGTAGGCTATGGATCTATCATAAAATGTTTTGATATTTACGTGGTGAAAGCTACTCAGTAGGGTAAACAACATTACTGTGGGCTTTATGGCCTACAAAATCAAATAGCTATGTTTTTTTTAAAAATGCAACCTATATTAATGATTTATTCTAAAATATCTTCAACATAAATGTACATAGATTTGATGTTGTTTACCATTTGTACCTCAAAGCCTTGTTCTTTATACCAACAACATGCCTTTGTATCCTGTAACTATTTACCTTGAAAATATTTATACTGAGAGTTGCAGATCATCTGAATAATACTATAAAAGGAAGAGTGTTTTTCAGGAGTACAGAGTTAAGTATTGTAACAGTCTAGAATAATGATTTCCAACATGATGACCAAGGAGCCTTTGAGTTAATATTAATTTTATTATTCATACTTTTAAATATCTTACCCACAGGATTTCAGTTTAATATGGAATCATTTAAGTTGTTTGATCACACATAAATGCTATTGTTTCTAACTGAAAATAGTAAAAAAGACAACATCAGGAACTTTTGGCCTTCTGAAAATGTCACTGGCCTCCTTATTTCACATTGGAAACTTCAAACTTGAGATAGAAGATATTTCTGTATCTGATGGACAGTATCTGCTGATGCTTCAGATGGATTAAAAGTCACAATGAATGTCTGGACAAAGAAGTCAGAGAGGTGACAAGTCAAAAGAACAAGTTTAGTGAGGAGCACCACCATTGACTGTTCTTTGGAGAACCTGTTAGGCCAGTGCTGTGTGGGTTACTGGTGAAGGAAGACGGAAAAGGCTTTTGAACAGGCATGACAGCTTAAATGTGACACTGGGTGTGTTTTAACTTGTTGTTAAAGTGTTTTCTGTGTTCTTGAATGCAATTTGTGTCTGTTTCACATTTTTCTTTATCAAGCCAGATTCTAAAAAGTTAGATTCTAAGTTCTGTAAATCTTAAAGATTTGTTGTGGCTCTTTGCTCTTTCAGATCAGCCTTCATTACTGAGCCATCTTTACCAATGTGAGTTAGAAGAGGAAAGATCACCAGACAGAGAAAATCATCTTTATTTCTTACCTCAAAATCATCTTTTTTCCATCTGTAACCTTTGCTTGTTCTCCAGCCCAACCATGAGGGACAGACTGAGCCACCTGCAGGAAATGTCCAATGGACATGTGGAACAGATGGAGTACGCAGAGTCCACTGTCTCCGACTCCTTCAGCAACGTGGACCTGGAAGAGGAGTTGCCCCACGAAGCAGTAGTGTTTGACAACAGCCCTGCTTTGGAGGAGGTCTTTTCCCAGTCACAAGATATCCACAGAGAGATCCAGCTCATCCGCCTGGAGGTTAAAAGGCTCCGTGAGCAGAACTCTCGCATGCTCCAGGGCATCACCACCATGAGCACTATCAAAAGGGACTCTAACACCATTGGTGCTGATATAAAGGCTCGGGCTGAGGGTGTGCTGGCACGACTGCGGGAAATGGACGACACCTCCCACAAGCTAGAGGAAGCACACGGCTCAAATTCCGCCATCACACGTATCGCCAGAACTCAGTATGCTTGCCTCAGCAATGGTCTCCGCGATGCCATGTTTGACTATAATGAGGCGGAGATGAGTCATCGGCAGAACTGTAAAGCCCAGATCCAGAGGCAAATGGAGATAGTGGGACGTGAGGTGACAGGAGAGGAGGTGGAGGAGATGATTGAGACAGGCCAGTGGAACATCTTTAATGACAACATTGTGGTTGAAGGTAAAACTGCTCGATCGGCTCTGTCCCAGATTGAGAAACGCCATCAAGAGCTGGTGGACCTGGAGACCCGTATCAATGGCATCCATGAGATTTTCCTGGACATCGCCCTACTGGTGGAGGAGCAGGGCCCCATGCTGACCTCCATCCAAACCAACGTTCAGAAAACTGACGAGTGCATACAGGAAGTCCTCGTCAAACTCAACAGGGCTAAACGTCATGACAAGAACAACCCCTTTAAAAAAATGTTTTGCAGCTGTTTCCCATGCTACCAAGACTGAGTGTCAAGCGCAGAGATGGGTAGAGGGGATGGCACAATATGCAAAGAGGAGGGGAAATCTTAAGGAAGTTTTCTTCACGTTTCAATACGCTCATCCTGTTGTCACAAAGCATTTATCAACATGGCCTGTACAGCTATTGCATAATAAAATTTTCCCCAGGAAGTAAAATGGAGTTAGTAATGGAAAGGCTAAACTATTATGTCTAGATTGAGAGACAAAAATTCTTGGGTGAAATATTTTTAAACTGTATTAAAGTACTCCACTGACGTCTGTAATGTTTGGATGAAAGGTTTGAGACGGGTATCTCATATCAGAATGACCCCCCCCCCCCCATGACTGAGGTGTGATGCAGACCGGAAACAAATACTTTTTGGAAATATTTGTTTTCATAGCCTGCTGAATTTCCACATGAGAGGGATTTACCAAATAGTTTGTCATTTTCAGAAAATTGCAGAAAGGTGAGTTATGTTTGTGCTGGGCCTGCTGCCTGACACAAGGGTGCCCGATACAGTAAATTCCACTAATAGTGAACCCTTAAGAAATGCAGAAAATATTACCCAAAGTTATTTTTGAGTGCCATCCATATTTGTCCCTACATGTCAATTCACTAAAATGGATGTCCTAGATGTAAGGCTGAAAGAAATATTTTAGAAATTGCACAGTTTAGTTGTCCTTGATTAGATTGTGAATCTGTTCTGCTTTCCTGTGTGTATGTTAGAATTCTTTGGTTGATAGTAACTAGCCATTTTGTGCTAAATACATTGCACAACACTTTTAAAATGCCAGATTGTTTTCTCTTTTGATGGCACCAGTAACTGAGGAGTGACAACAGCTTTAATAGATTTATTGTCAGTCTCAATGTTAGGGATCACAGAGTGAATGTAATCTGATGTACACTAATCTTTTACTTTTCACTGATATTTTATGACTGATATGTATGATAATACCTGATTATGTTGTCTGCCTTTCTTCTGTGGTGTATGATGTATATTACATAAAGAGTTATATTAAAATCAGCCAGAGTCTGGGTTTATTCTTGTTTCACCTGAAATCCACATCAACACATGAAAATAAGACATGTTAAGATTTCGTAGCTGGTTTACATGAATACATTTTCTTTATTCAAGATCTCCGACACACCAGGGGCAGTGCAGAAAATGTTAGCTCACAATAGCTCAATAACAGCTAGACAATTAATGCCTATAACCTCTGGTATATGCCAGGTATTCTGTCCAGCTATGGGTCTCCTGGATCCTCCAGGGTTCCCACATCCTAATGGCCACCCAGAAACACACACCCACAAATGAGTCTAATGCTGGGGCTTGTATTGTTCAGATAGTGGAAGTGCGGCAGCTTTTCATTTCCAGTTACAACTTATGGCAATATTCTATCTCATTATATATTCTATTTATCTCACTTCATTCCACAAGGAAATGTATCTCATACTCTTGTCTCATCAACTGCTTTTAACTCACAAAAGTCTTTTTTGTTACTTTCCAGATAATAGTTTTGCCAAAATAAACAAATAGGCTGTGGTGAAAGAAGTAATCAGATTGTTTAAAGGTTCAGTGTGTAATATTTAGGAGGATCTATTGACAGAGATGCAAGATAATATACAGAATTATGTTTTCAGTGGTGTATAAAGACCTTATATAATTAACCATTATGTTTTTATTACCTTAGAATGAGCCAACAAGAACAAGTAACGTTAGTAGTAGCAGTGGTAATCACTGGTTTGTCAGAAAAATCAGAATCTTTATTCCTCTTTATATCTCTATTGCAAAAAGGGAAATAAAGTTTACAGGGGACACAAAGAAGTATACAGAACTTTGATCTGTGCTAAATCACGTTTTGCACATACATGTTTTGCAAACATGTAATTTGTAATATGGTTATAACCGTTAGATTGCTGTCCATGTAGAGTGAACTAACTGAACAAAATTATAAATGCACACTTTTGTTTTTGCCCACCTAAGCTAACTCCAGCGTTGTCATATTGGATATGTCCATTTCTCTGTTTTGTTACTAAAATAATGAAGTTCAACACACCTATCGGGTGTAACTTTATTTTGGGTTTCCAAATGAAATCTAGCAGTCTGCGCTGATGATCGATCTCTTCCTCGTACACGATGATAGTTTTTTTTAAAAACTCTTCAGCAGCAGCATTTAGTCGCTCATTGACAAACTCTCTCAGACACTCAGTTGAATACATTGTTACTAAATTACTAATGAAATAATAATAATTATAAGTGGAAAGGACCTTCACCCTGTACGCAGGATAAGTGGTTGACGATGGATGGATGGATGGATGGAAAGGACCTTCAGGTCCATCCAACTTAATTAGGTGACATGTACAAACATGGCAACTTAAAGATAATACATGTTGATATGGAATTATTATAAGTAGGCTATACAAAAGCATACTTGCCCAAATATGCTAGACTATTTTATGTCATGCATAAACTAGTTACATAGTTTATGTCATACATAGACACATGAGAGGAGCTGTATACAAATAGCTTTGTAGGAGGCAGTTCACATTTAATAGGACTTCTTATATGGTTATATAAAACAATAATGTAAGAGCAAAATTATTACCATTATTTTTTCTTGCAATATCTTATTGGCGGATATGATATTCTGTAACCTCTCGTAGTAGGGACATTTGTGTATAAAGCTGAGAAAGGAGCTTGCTAGAGTTACTGATGTTCCTACCTAGACTCTGCAATAAATGTTCTTTATCTTTTTCTTTGTTCAGACTCTCTGAATACACTCGAGCTGCTCTTGTGCGTGTGTCCAATGCTTCACAGAATCTCTTCCCACATGTTTTGCAAGAATACGGCTTTTCACCTGTGTAGGTTCTAATGTGGAGATTAAAGTGACTGATAGTTCTGAAGTTTTTCCCACATGTTTTGCAAGAGTTAATGACAATTTAAATAATTAGCGGCACTTTATACAATGGCGTCTTCTAGCAAATTCTGGTGCTTGTATTGTTTAGGCTACTTCCGCTGGATGTTACACTGTTAAGATATCATCACTTTACATAGCCTACATATAAGAGCTGCATTTCTTTAGTGGTGCAACGTCCAATAGTAATAATAATTTCCATGAACACTTGTAGCCTACTGGATGCATTAGCCTACCTGACAAGAATGCTGCCTGACTTAATCGACCCAGTCTCCTGCTTTCTGACAACCAAAAAGCATCTCCCTATAAGGAAGAAGCCTATTGTGTGTTTCAGTGAGTCTCTCTCACACACTGAACACACAGCCGACAGACAACTTCCTTCATTCGAATGAAAGATGCGTTTCCCAAACCCACTGCACCAAAGAAATCAGCATGAGACACGTTGAAGGGGTTTACTTCCGCTCTGATTTTGTGGGGGCCAGTCACAAGAGGTAAGACACGTTTAATTGATACTTTGTAAAATGTGTGGCAGAGGCACATGTGGATAATTGAAGGGACTTAATTAGTGCTACACTCCCCAAGCAGCTTAAAGATGGGACTGATTCAGTGACTACTAGGAATAAGACATTTAATTGTTTTAACATACATTGTGAAAGCTTTTAAAATAGTTTCATGATTTTTTTACTGCTATGACAAAATTGATTTTTCTTCGTATGTACGTATGTAAGAATCGGTGGCAGAGATTTAGGTAAGCACCACCATTTCAAAAGTTTTGTGCAGCATGAGGTTGACAAAATTAATGTACTGAGAACTACTCAGATAAAAATGCAGTAGGCTACTCTGCACCATCTTCTACAATAAGCCTTTTTTTAAATAAGAGGATGTCTTCCTTGTTCCTGGTTTAAAAATAAGACATTCCAATGAGGCTTTGAGCTGTGACTGCTTTCATTGTTTAACATACAAAAGAAAACCTACTGCAGATAAACTGACCAGTCACTGTGTGTACATTGTGTAGACTATCATTTTAGCTTTTAATGGGCGGTGTAGCATCCCTGGGTAAATTAACTATGAATCTGCACATACCATCACCACAGTGTTAAAGTGGTGGTATTAGGCTTTTTGGCTTTTTCCCTCTCCTTTATTGAGTTATATTCCTTTTTTGAGCATGTAATAAGTTTGCAAAGTGAAAAAGCCCAAAGTCCAGCCCAAAGGCAGTTCCCATTTCCCACAGAAAACACTGCTCTGAACTGACCCAGCCCTTTCCCTAAATGCGCCTCATATAACGCTTGCTTGCCAAACGGCTACTCCGACATGCCCTCAAAAACACTGGTGGACAATCACTGAGCTCCAGCAAACACCTCTCATATCCCTTCCAAACACTAGTTACCCTCCAGGCAGTCAGTGGACATAAAGTTGTTACTGTGGTGTAGAGACAGAGCTCAGTTAAAACTTTATGGATGAAAGATACATTTGTCACAGATTAATAACGCTGACCCGCTCTTCTCTGCTTCTGATTGGCTAGTAGTCCTCAACTAGGAACTGCGCATGTGCAGTTCCCAACAGATCATTTAGAGGCAAGATGTATCACTCCATAGCTAAAACGAAGCCTCCAACACAGGGTGAAAAGAGGAGCTGCAGCAATGTGAAAAAAAAAAAATTGGTGTTTTTTGAAAATTTAACCATGTAAACCTGCTTTGGGACAACCCCTAAATAAGATTTTGAACCTGAAAATGAGCATAATACCACCTCTTTAAACATCAAATGTTTCTTGTTTTATGGGGAGCACTGTGTTTCATCACTATTAAGAGGGTTCTATCATAATGCAGGGTGCTTACAGCCCAACATGTAGAACACATGTGACACTAACTTAAACTGTATTTTCAACACTGTATATCAGCCTAAAAGCTTTATGAACACAATAACCACTATCTTGTTTTACGTGGTTCTCTCAGGCAGAATGCGGGACCTGCTGGAGAAGCTGCAGACCATTAGTAAGGAGCAGGAGGACCACGAGCCAGAGTTTCATGGGCCTGAAAATGATGTAGACAATGTGACTCTGTCTCAAGAGGCAGTGGTGTTTGAGAAATCCTCAGCTATTGATGACATCCTGATGGAGGCCCACGGCATTCGCAAGGACATGTCATTGCTCCATGTACAGGTAGAGCATCTGAAAACACATAATGAACGCTTTGGCACCTCTGTGCGGCGCCTTACCCTACTCAAAAAGGACTCGGACTCCATCGCCAGGGGAATCCAGCAACATGGCGAGGCTCTGTACGTGCGCCTTCAGGCCCTGGGTAAGGAGAGCTGCCAGCTGGAGGAGAAAGAAGGTCCCCACGCTGCTGTTAGTCGCATTGCCCGAGTTCAGCATGACACACTGATGCGTGCCTTCCATGATGCCATGAGTGAATACAATAAGGCAGAGGAGATGCAGAGGGATGCATGTCGGGAGAGGATCAAGAGGCAGGCCTCCATAATGGGAACTGAAATCACCAATGAGCAGCTGGATGTGATGGTGGACAAAGGTGGTGAAGGATGGGCTGAGCTGTCCCAGAGCCTGCAGAGACCAGGCGCACGCTCGCTCAGCAGGGCGATGTTTGAGATCAAAGGCAGACACAAGGAGCTGGTGGAGCTGGAAGCCAGGATGAGGGATGTCCATGAACTTTTCCTGCACATGGCCATGTTGGTGGAAGAGCAGGGATCCGTGCTCAATAACATTGAGGCTAATGTGTGTACCAGTGAGGAATATGTTGAAGAAATCAACGTTCAGATCAAGAAGGCCATACAGTACAAGAGGAAAAATCCTTTTCAGCAATGTTGCCCCTGTCTACCCTGATGGAGAAGCAACCAAATGCTTTAGGGCTTGTTTTACTTTTGCAATTTTATAGATTACTGAAATAAACATTTACCAGTATGAATAGTTATGGACAACTAAAAATAATTGTTATGAAATGTGCTGAAATTATGTTAAATCCAACCTTTAGAGATACACTTATGTGCACAAAGTGTAGAAGCAGTTTTGTCTTGAAGAATAGAACACTGTATTTCTCTGACTCGTGTGTCTAAATTTTATTTAATAAGTACAAGAAGTACACACAGTCTTCAGAAATGTGGAGGAATTGGGAATCATGGGGATGGGTAACAGTAAGGATGGAAAGAGAGTTGAGAAATTGCTATTATCGATGACAGGTGAGGATCCATTGCAACTTTGTAGAAATACAGTATTATAGTGAGAAATGATTCAGCCAGGCAGACATTAATTAAACACTGAATAAGTGAAAGCTGAAAGTGCCATAATGATGAGAAGTATTTCATTTTGGTGGCAAAAGGGCAAGTGTGATTTAAATACTAAGTGGAAACGGTTGATGGAGGGTGGCAATTATTGGCCAAACAAGGTATGTTACATATCTAGAGTTTACCTCAAACAATAGAGAAGCCAAGTTTTGATATAGGTGTTTAAAATCAGATATTACACTTTACAGCCAACCAAACAGGGCAGAGAGGAAAAATCAGCTGGCTCTGCTTTGAGTTCAAACTTTAGATTGGAGAAGAGACATGTCATATGATCCCAGGACATAAACTAAGCTAAGAGTTGTAGCCTTTAGTTGTTTCATATCAGACTTTTGTCTTGGAAGGAGCCAAATTATTTTAACAAATGTTGTGTTGAGTTTAGGGGTGAGTACTCTTTCTTTGTTGCTGAAAAATAAACAACCAACAGACACAATCAACTGTAGCAACCTGCTTGGGCCTAGGTTTGGTAATTTCATTTTTTTAAAGGCCCAAAACTTACATTTTGACATGGGGACTCTAAAGACGGGGGCCTTAAGATCAGCTAATAAGTAACACTCACATGTGTAGGTGTATATTATTTTCATTTTCCCAAACAAAGTTACATTTAATTATGCTCATTTGAACAAACCAACTGCCACACAGTCAACCAAGGGTCTGGGGCCTAGGGCCAGTTGCTCATGTTGTCCAGATGGTAATCCAGCCAAACATACTGTAATGAATGGTGTCACATTTGAAGGATGTATTTAAGTATTACAGAGAATCTTTAACATGGTAAAGTTAAATAAATGTATCGTGTTGTGGTGGCAGCCCGGCTGACGGTGAGTGTCCTGGTTTTTTTTCTCCTTTTTATCAGTTATTCTGCTTTTTCCTTGGTTTTCTGTTCCTTGCCTGCCTCCCTGTGTTTTCTCCCCTGTGTGTGCTCTCTCTCCCTCTGCTCCTGAGCCCAGCCAACGACCCGCACCTGCACCTCATCAGCCACCTCGTCAGCCTGCCACACCTGCCAGTAGTCAACCTAATCCCTGCCTGTATTTCAACCCCGGTTCTCCACACCACTCTCGCTTGATCGTCATTGCTCCATACCTAGTGTCACCTCTGTGTTCAGGCTCTCATGTTTCTTGGTTTCTCACATTTTCCCTGTGCTTAGTCTCTGTTATCTCTAACCCTGTCTCTCCATCTGTTTCCCTCACAGGTTCACTCACCCTCGTCCTCCGGACCTCTCCTCCTCGGGCTTCCCCCATGGCGTCCTCCCAGTTCTCCCTTGCATCCTCCCTTCCTCGGCCCCAGTGTTCCCCGGCTCCCTGGTTCCCGTCCCGTTGGTTTCCCTGTGCCAGTGTTTCCCTGGCATCCTCCTCTCCCTCAACTCCAGTCCTTCAACCCCCTTTTTCTCTAAATAAACCTCCTTCACTCAGAGTGCTGCATTTGGGTACTCTCTGTCCCCACACCACACCAACCTCGTAACATATTGTGTGATTGCTGGCTTTGTGGGGACAATTCTGTGGTTTTGGAGCTGCGATTGTAGTTGATATGTAGTCTCGTTGTTTCTTAAAATGAACAAGTTTCAGCTGACAAATGTTTAGATGATCAATTAATCTTTTCAGTCATTAATCAAGTCAGTCTGTACTAAAAAAAAAATTCATTGAACTATTTTAAAAGCTTTCACAATGTATGTTAAAACAATTAAATGTTTTATTCCTGGTAGTCAATGAATCAGTCCCATCTTGGGGAGTGTCTCACCTGTGTGAGAGTTATGGCAAATCTCTGATATGGTAGAGTTGTATACATTGTTCCTGTGTATTTTGCTTTTGTGATCTTGATTCTTTTGTTTTGGCTCTGCATCTCTAGTTGATCCCAAATCTTCATGCTTGCCTCCTTTCTGATCTTGGCTCTCAGCTACATGACAGTTGTGAGACAGGAGCTGGCGGTCACTTTTTGGTTCTGGCTCATTGTGGTTACCTTCCTCATAAGTAGGAGTCAACATCAAGTTATCAGTCTCCTGCGTCAGTATAAGCTGCTCTCCTGCCTGACTGGTACAGAGTTCCTCCTGTTCCTCTTTAATCTGTGGAGGCTCTGGGTCCACTGGAGTCCCTCTCCTGAATACAGAGCTGCTGGTCAGGCAGAACCTCCTCTGCCTTACAGACATGTTACTGAGGGAGATCTGGAGCTCAAACAAAAGGAAAATGCTACTACTGTAATGTTAACGAATAAATGTAGACACTGAAGGAACCAGTTAAACACTTTGGAACAACACTGAAGTCAGAGTTATGGCAGAAAATTGTGTCCTCTTACATTTTATCTTTTATGTATGATCTTTTAATATTATTACTGTTATTACTATATATATATAGTGCTTTTATCCTTAACCTTTCCTCTCCTGTATTCCTGATGTTAGTCTGTCCACATTTACTAGGGTTTAGGTCAGAGCTGTGAGATTGTTTTGGTGTTTTCCCCCTCTTGTTGTTCCTCTCCTCTCCTGTAATGTTCATTCAAGGCCGAGAGAGGATCTCTGTTCCCCAAAACATAGAAACCTGTGTAAATGATGATGCATCCCTTTGCTCTGGGCCAGACACCCGAAGCCGCCCTAGGCGGCAGGTCTCTGGACCAGCTGTATTTGTGTTTAAGTACTTCTCTGTTTATTCTGTTTTTTTAAAATAAATTCTTCGAAAGACAAGGGTTGGTTGTAACTCAATTCTTTGCTCAACCCCTCACCAGGAATATAATTTCCACGACAGTCAGCTTTCAATTTGTAGCTTCCGAGTAGGCAGTTAAGGGAAACTTAACTTACATTGCTGAGCGACTGAGCCTCCTTGTTATGCATCTCTTACTGTTGTGAAAGTTGTTAAGCATTTTAGTTATAGCCTTAATGCTGTCTGAAACACCACTCTGACATTTGTCAAACCAATGAGAAAGAAACTGTAGCCTACACAGCAATCAGACTTTTTTTATTTTATAAAAAAAAAGGCTGATTGCTATGTAGGGTAACAGGGGGAAATTATTTTGTTATTTTAAATTATTTGATCAAAGCCATTTTGAGTTGAGTTGAGCCAAGTTGATCTAATTTTTTGTCATCAAATAAGGTATATATTTTTTATTGTGTTCAATTTATATATATTTACATTAAGGGGAGCCTTAAGATAAGTTATGCAATTGTTTAGAGAGAAAGATTTTTATAGTTTTTGGTTAAAGTCTTAAGTCTTACCACAATCTACCCTACAGTTCTCACTTGAAAGCAACATTTGAAAAGTTATTTTAATTTTTGAAAGACAATCAAAACAGCTGGCATAGTGGTTTCGATCTGGTCCTGGTTCAATGTGATGTACATGCAAAAAACATAGGCCTTTTTTTCCATTTTCACAAATAGAATAAATGGTTTGACAAATGTTAATGTGGTTTTCAGACAGCGTTAAGCCTTTACCTTAAATGCTCAGCAATGTAAGTTAGGTTTCCTTAACTGCCGAATCAGAAACTATCTCCAGCACTGTCATATTGGACTATATGTATTTTTTTCCTGTTTGTGAAGTTTAACACGCCTATCCTGTGTAACTTTATTTCGGGTTTCTAAATGAAAAATCCAGCAGTAGGCTCTTCCTCGTACACGACGGAATTTTTTTTTTTTTTTTTAAACTCCGAATAATTCTTCAGCAGCAGCAGCATTTAGTCGCTCGTTGACAAACTCTCTTAGACACTCAACTGAAGACATTGTTGCTAAATTACAAATGAAATAATTAGCGGCGTTACGACTATAATAACACCTTCCAGCTAATTCAATACATGCATAGCGAACAAGAATGCTGCCTGACTTAATCGACCCAGTCTTCTGCTTTCTGACAACCAAAAAGCATCTCCCTATAGGGAAGAAGCCTATTGTGTGTTTCAGTGAGTCTCTCTCACTGAAACACACACACAGCCGACAGACAACTTCCTTCATTCGAATGAAAGATGCGTTTCCCAAACCCACTGCACCAAAGAAATCAGCATGAGACACGTTGAAGGGGTTTACTTCCGCTCTGATTTTGTGGGGGCCAGTCACAAGAGGTAAGACACGTTTAATCAATTTGTTAGGTAATAGGTGTGGCAGAGGCACGTGTGGATAATTGTCTTAATTAGTGCTACACTCCCCAAGCAGCTTAAAGATGGGACTGATTCAGTGACTACCAGGAATCAGACATTTAATTGTTTTAACATACGTTGTGAAAGCTTTTAAATTTTTTTTTAGTACAGGCTGTATGAAAGAATCAGTGGCGGAGATTTAGGTAAGCACCACCATTTCAAAAGTTTTGTGTAGCATGAGGTTGACAAAATGAATGTACTGAGAACTACTAAAAATGCGGTAGGCTACTCTGCACCATCTTCTGTACAAGCCTCTTTATTTTATTTTTTTTTTTAAATAAGAGGATGTCTTTCTTGTTGTGTTTAAAAATAAGACACTTCAATTAGCCTTTGAGCTGTGACTGCTTTCATTGTTTAAGATGAAAAAGAGAACCTACTGCAGATAAATTGACCACTCACTGCATGTACTATAGAACTGTCATTTTAGCTTTTAGTGGGTGGTGTAGGTAAATTAACTATGAATCTGCACATACGTCACCACAGTGTTAAACATCAAATGTTTCTTGTTTTATGGGGAGCACTGTGTTTCATCACTATTAAGAGGGTTCTATCATAATGGAGGGTGCTTACAGCCCAACATGTAGAACACATGTGACACTAACTTAAACTGTGTTTTCAATACTGTATATCAGCCAGAATGCGGGACCTGCTGGAGAAGCTGCAGACCATTAGTAAGGAGCAGGAGGACCACGAGCCAGAGTTTCATGGGCCTGAAAATGACGTAGACAATGTGACTCTGTCTCAAGAGGCAGTGGTGTTTGACAAATCTGCTATCGAAAACCTCTTGATGGAGGTCCACGGCATTCGTAAGGACATGTCATTGCTCAACGTACAGGTAGAGCGTCTGAAAAAGCACAATGACCGCTTTCGCACCACTATGCGGCGGCTTACCCTACTCAGAAAGGACTCGGACTCCATCGCCAGGGGGATCAAGCAACGTGGTGAGGCTCTGTATGTCCGCATTCAGGCCCTGGGTAAGGAGAGCCGCCGGCTGGAGGAGAAATCGGGTCCACTTTCTACTGTCAGTCGCATTGCCCGGGTTCAGTATGACGCACTGATGTGTGCCTTCCATGATGCCATGAGTGAATACAATAAGGCAGAGGAGATGCAGAGGGATGCATGTCGGGAGAGGCTCAAAAGGCAGGCCTCCATAATGGGAACTGAAATCACCAATGAGCAGCTGGATGAGATGGTGGACAAAGGTGGTGAAGGATGGGATGAGCTGTCCCAGAACGTGCAGACCACACGCAACCGCACGCTCAGCAGGGCAATGGCTGAGCTCCAAGGCAGACACAAGGAGCTGTTGGAGCTGGAAGCCAGGATGAGGGATGTCCACGAACTGTTCCGGGACATGGCCGTGTTGGTGGAGGAGCAGGGATCCGTGATCAATAACATTGAGGCTAATGTGTGTACCAGTGAGGAACATGTTGACGAATCAAACGTTCGGCTCAGGAAGGGTGTCGAGTACAAGAAGAAGACTCCTTTTCAGACATGTTGCTCCTGTCTACCCTGCTGGAGATGCAACCAAACGGCTTGAGGCTTATTTTACTCTTGCAATTTTATAGATTACTGAACTAAACATTTGCCTGTATAGTTATGGACAACTGTTAATTAATCCGTGTGTGTGTGACCATATAGGATGCTCTTTTATTTTAACCGTTAAGCAGTTCACTGACGTGCAAAATAAACGCTGTTTTTATTAAATTAAAGGGTTTGTTGTCCTTGACAGAACATCAACACATAGTAAGTTGGGTCGTGGGGATAAAAAGTACAGTCTTTAGAAATGTGGAGGAATTGGGAGTCATGGGGATGGGTAACAGTAAGGATGGAAAGAGAGTTGAGAAATTGCTATTATCGATGACAGTTGAGGATCCATTGCAACTTTGTAGAAATGCAGTATTATAGTGAGAAATGATTCAGCCAGGCAGACATTAATTAAACACTGAATAAGTGAAAGCTGAAAGTGCCATAATGATGAGAAGTATTTCATTTTGGTGGCAAAAGGGCAAGTGTGATTTAAATACTAAGTGGAAACTGTTGATGGAGGGTGGCAATTATTGGCCAAACAAGGTATGTTACATATCTGGAGTTTACCTCAAACAATAGAGAAGCCAAGTTCTGATATAGGTGTTTAAAATCAGAAATTACACTTTGCAGCCCACCAAACAGGGCAGAGAGGAAAAATCAGCTGGCTCTGCTTTGAGTTCAAACTTTAGATTGGGGAAGAGACATGTCATATGATCCCAGGACATAAACTAAGCTATTTGTGGAGTGTAAAATAAGAGTTGTAGCCTTTAGTTAGTTTCATATCAGACTTTTGTCTTGGAATGAGCCAAATTATTTTAACAAATGTTGAGCTTAGGGGTGAGTAAGTCCAGTAGTTGTCTATTTCTTTGTTGCTGAAAAATAAACAACCAATAGACACAATCAACTGTAGCAACCTGCTTAGTTACATTTGATTATGCTCATTTGAACAAACCAATTGCTACACAGTCAACCAAGGGGGCCAGTAGCTCATGTTGGCCAGAATGCAATCCAGCCTTTAATTTTATAATAAAATCAAACGACAAAAGGGAGTCCTTGTTAATGTTTGCCTTCACTTTTACTAATGAAGTATGAGCGCAACACTGTATCGGCATTAAGAGCCACTGAAAACGTGTTTAACAATTTGTCAATAAAGTCATAGTTATCTAAATTATTCAACCATGTTTTTGTATTTGGGAGAGTGGAGTCCGTCCGGAAATTATCATTGAAAAATTACTTATAAATAGCTTTTTGGCGCCTGTCCTGTTTCAGTGCCTCAGTTTTCAGACAGGCGCAGAAAAACCTTCTTCTTCTGCTTTGGGTTTTTACAGCAGCTGGCATCCATTGAGTTGCATTACTGCCACCTTCAGTTTTTATTTACCCTTTGCTTCCATTCATACTAAATCCGCCTATCTAATCCAGTTGCCCTCAGAAAACCAAATATCCATTTCCTACCTCCACACTTTCTGCATACTCCAATAAACCTTTTACTGTATTATATATCCGTCCTATTTTTTTTAACTGTGTTATCATTTCTTGTCTTTCCTGAGTAAATTTCCTGCATGTTATAAGAATATGTTCTGCTTTTTCAGCCTCCTGACATTGTTCACACATTCCTGTAGGATGTTTTCCTGTAATTAAAAGTGTGCTGTTAAGATTGCTATGCCCAATTCTCAGCCTACTTATTATCACCTGCTCTTTCCTCTTTGCTCCCCTACTTCTTGATATACCTACTTTGCTTTGGATTCCGTGTAAATGTCTCCCTTTTATTGCGTTATCCCAGCTCTGTTGCCATTGTTGATTTACACTTCTCCACACTATGCCTTTCCCCTCTGATTTTGATAATTTAATGTTGACTTCAACATCTCCTTTTATTAACTGCTTCTTTTGCCACCTTATCTGCTTTCTCATTTCCCTGAATTCCCGAGTGTGCAGGGACCCACATAAAGCAAGTCCAGGTGACTTCTAGTTGTGCATGTCTTCATGCTTATAAGAGCTGACACAGAGTCACTACATATTAATATTTCCTTATCACTAATTATTTCTGTCCATTCCAACGCCATCAATATGGCAAACAGTTCAACTGCAAACACACTCAGACAATCAGATGTTCTTTTGCTAAGTTCTAACTGATACTTAGGAACAACAACTGCAGACCCTGTTGCATCTGTTTGCATGTCCTTTGGCCCATCTGTGAAAATCTGAATACTTTCCTTATACTTACATTCCCTATAGCTATAATATACACTAGTTAAATCGGCATTCTTATTATTGCGTTTAATCTCAAGTAGTTCCAAATCTACACATGGTACTTCTAATTCCCAGACAGGTCTGATAGGCCACACCACATTTGCGCCAAACTCTTTATCATATACACCTGTATCCCTTGCCATTTGCTCTCCTGTCCACCCAAAACTTGTTTTTTGTGTTGTGCTGCTTCTCCCGGCACGTCTGCAGCACCCTTTTTGCTGGATGGCTATCTCCATGCCCTCTTAAATTGACCCAATAATTAGCCCCCAGCTGCTTCCTTCCATATCATATGCCTTTTCCACGTCAAAAAATACTGCAACCATTGTCTCTTTATTTACTTGGGCTTTCCTTATTTCATCTTCTAGTCCCAGCACTGGATCTATGGTACTCCTTCCCTTCCTGAAACCGCTTTGGTTTGATGCCACCATTTCTCTTTCCTCCAAGAAGTATGTTAACCTCTCATTCACCATACGTTCCATTAACTTACAGATGTGAGACGTCAAGGCAATTGGTCTATAGCTTCCAGGTCTGCTGGCATCTTTTCCAGGTTTCCTTATTGGAATTATTATAGCCTCCTTCCAACTCCCTGGTATTATTCCATCTACCCACACTCTGTTATACAACATCAATAATTTTTCCAGATTTTCTTCACTTAGATGCTTTATCATACAATAACATACTTCATCTTTCCCTGGCGCCGTCTGTCCCGCTTTGTCTAGTGCCCTGTTTTAACGCTCCTATTGTAAAGGGGACATTAAGTCCATCCCCCACACTACTTTTCCTACCTAAAGCCTCTATATTTTCAGATTTTGTTTTCTCTCTACCTCTTCTACCTTCTTCCTGCATATTGTTTGAGCTATGTACCGTAACAAAGGTTTTTGCCATTAGCTCTGCCTTCTCCCTATTTGTTACTGCTGTCTCATTACCCTCAACCAGAACCGGGTAACTCCATTCCCTCCTGCCCCCCCCCATCTTTTTTATCGCAGAAAAACCCAGGAGTAGCCGTCACTTTCATTTGACGTCTACTTCTACCGACTCGGATAACTTATCTGCATGCATTTGTGAGCTGACTCCAGAGGACCCTTTATGTGTTATTGGTGTTTCGCGTTGCATCGCGCCCTTGTTTGATCACAGTGTGTTCAATAGCTAAACACTCCACTGTAAGGCCGAAATGACAGTGTAGTGACGGTGTCGTTCAGAGCTCGTAAGTTCACTTGTGCTATCAGTTAGCACATGCTAACGTTATTAACTTAGCTGCTGGTCCTGGTTAGATAGCTAACTTTGTAGTCGTGACGATAGATAAAGCAGGGGCTCTGTCAGTCAACACGCTGACTTTACTCTGTCTGGTATTACATTTCACATCGTAAGGAGACCCTAAATTACGGCGGTAACGTTAAAGTTAGTTTGTGTAACGTTAAAAGCGTTGCTGTCTTGTCAACGACCACGACACACACCACGCTAGCTGCTAATGCTGTGCTGCTAGCATAGCATAGTTCTGACTCATGAGACGGGACTATTGTAATAAAGTAATCATTGAAAGGTTAAAGATGTAATTCATATATGTTAAAAATGTTTTTTCAAGGGGAAATGTGGCGGGATGCGGTGTATACACCAGGATGGCCGAGTGGTTAAGGCGTTGGACTTAAGATCCAATGGACATATGTCCGCGTGGGTTCGAACCCCACTCCTGGTATATAATTTTAATCGTCTGTCTCTGCATCAAGAAATTACCTAGAAGAAACATAAGAAGCGTCTCCTGCAAACTGTAACACAGTACATTCAAATTCTGATATCTAGTACAGCGAAGAAAGCAGTCATTTCGCTTTAGCTGTAACGTTAGACCTATTTTCCATCGAAGGCACCACAATGCAGACGAGGTCATAATTAAAGATAGGGGGACACAAAGCTTCTGTAAGTAGTGCTAACGTGAGCAAAACGAACACATTAATGGAAAAGACCGTCGTGATATTCTAAGTATTCATTTTCTACAGCGATTAACTTTAGTAAGGCACATAAGGACAGTGTAAATTGCCCTTGGTAACAGTTCTCATTCTAATAATTTTACTTTCTTCTAAATACAGAGAATTTGTACAATCAGTCAGTAGGAAAGTTAAATGGTCAAGATTGGCAACAGTGTACCAACTGTTGGTACAATAATACCGAAAACAATGGTAGGATGAAACTCAGCTGCAGATCTTATTATGTAGAGTAATACAAAGTTGTTCAGATATTTGTTAAAGTACAAGCCCACCTCCTGCTGGCTCATTATCCATACATTTGGCATTTTTGGTTAATGTGCCTATGTGATGATACCAATAATTAATTTCAACATGGCAAATTGTGGGGAACATGTTTATAAATGTATGTCGTTATATTGATTTTTTCTTTAGAAAATTCCTCTAGGTAAGTGTGGTCTGGGGTAGCCAAGGGTAGGTGTTTTTTTTTTTTATGTTGCACCATTGAGGCAGAAGAGGGCACTCTAAGCCCTTCTTGGAGTCTCTGGGCTGGAGTCCAACACAGGCCCACTGGAGGCCTACACACTCTCACCCCTATAATTTCCCTGCAAGGGCGATGCCTTGCACTCATGGATACCCAGTCATCTGCATCTGCCACAGGAAAAGCTTCACAGAAAATAGCTGTAACTATTTTAAAGTAGTGTTCAAAATTTTGTTGCACTGTAGTCACAAGAAGGTCCAAGAAGTACAGATGGAAAATAAGCCTTTTGAAACTTTCTCAACCAGTTGAAATTCTATATAGGTCTTTTGCACTGCATTGTTCACAAACACAATGGATGTAAACATGTAGCCTATCATGGGTGTAGCAGGTCTGTGGCAAGTTGCAGTTGATAACTATGTGTAAAAGACAGTAGCCTCCTGGTGTCTTGATACTTCAGAGTCCCAAATTTTACATATTAATCTACATAAACATGTCAGTG